TCACATTAGGAAGCAGAGAGCTGGAGAATGATGAATAAAGTTTAAAGTGCTTAAGAGTTGGAATTTTATAGAAAAATTTACAAGCTAGAGTTGGCTTAATACTTGTTGAAATTTCCAGAGAAATTTATAAGTTGAAGTTAAGCCGAGGTAATATTGCAAGAAGTACATACGTACTTGCCGAGATAACCAGGTTGCCCAACTTGGGGAGTATAAAAGACAGAAGTCTTGATAAGTAAGAGTGAAGTGACAAGTTTAAAACAACACTTGTGAAAATATTTTTACAATATTTTCAAGTGTTAAGCTAAGGCCAAGGTAAACAATTAAGAGGTTATGTCTGAGGTATTGTACTCTGAAAAGGTTATACAGATAAAGGTATACTTTGAAGACATACAAAATTATTCTAAGTATGGAATGGTAAACATACATAGAAGAAAAGAAGGCATACATTCAACACTTAGAAGAAAATATAAGACTTGCATTCAGAAAAGAAACTTATTCAAATACAAAAAGGCACTTTGGCCTGACATAGGAGATTACTTGTTTATCTACAAAGACAAAAGGGGTACATCAGCCAAATATAAAGCTAACATCATTCAAAAAGCAAAAAGTACAAAGTACAGAAACAAAAGCTTTTAGTTAGACTACTCGGCGTCGGTGGCAAGCTGTGTCTCGGCCTCAGAAGACAACTGTGAAATCTTCTCAGCAGCCTTCTCAGCCTAGAGCTCGGCGTCAATTTCTTGTAGAGTTTGATCGAGGCTCTTCTCGGCTATAGGCACCTCGGACGTGGTCTTCTTGGGGGAGGCACTTTTTGAGACCTAGTCCTCCTCATCCTGAGTCAAGTCTAGGACTTGCTCATTTAGAGTTGGGGACTTGGCCCCAGCAAAACCCTCAGCATCGACTGCAACCTCGACCTCTTCGTCTTCTTCTTCTACTCCATCTTTTTCTTCTCATTCTTTTCCCCCAACTTTAGCCTCAGATTGGCTTGAAGCATGAGGGAATGGCACGGCAAGTTGGCCTTCGTCTCGGAGGGGAAAGTCCTCTAGGACAGCCAGCTCTTTCAAAGCAGCCATCCAACCAAGGGTGTAACCCCTATTGCATGCCTATCTGACTTGCTTTTTGTACTCCTCACGGATGGCTGCCCCTTCGGTGTAGGCCTTCTCGTCCGCCTCTTCGATTTTGGCAGCCTTTGTGGACAGTGCCCCTGGGCCTCATTCTCTTTGGCCTCTTTTGCCTTGGTCTGTACGACCACGGCAACATTCTCCGCAGCCTCAACACGGTCCTTGGCTGCTTTCAGGGCTAACCCAGTAGCTTTAGCTTTATCAAGAAGACCTCGGATGCGATCCTCGGCTTTGTTAAGAGAAGTGAGAAGCTTGGCTGCCTCCTTGGTCTTCTGGGTAAGCTCTTTTTTGAACGCATCGGTCTTGACTGCCATGGAGTGACCCTGCTGGATAGTCTGCAGGAGTGCAAAGGAAATTAATTAAGTATGGAAACCAGAGTTAAAGTTAGATAAAAAGTTACTAGTGTTGAAGCTTACCAAGACGCAATGTTGCATCATCATCGCATAATTTTCATACTCTGATAGCTCGGCCATCCGATTGATGTCGACTGGGAGCAGAATAGCAGTAGAAATAGCAGCACCAACTTCCAGGTCGTCAAGTGCACTGTCCCCGGCAAGAAGTGGTCGGTCTCCGACCATAATGGATGGATTCCAATGAGTATTAGCACGGAAACTAGAGGGGTCAGAGGAGCCACTGGTCCTCGGCCTTTTTGATTATGGTGGGTTAGATGCCTTGGCCTCGGTTGGCCTCTTGTCAGCCAAAGAAGTACTCCTCTCAGCGTCGGCCAACTTGGAAATCGGCAAAGTGTCCTTAGAATCGATCTGAGTCACTGTTGCCTTGGTTTTGGCCTTCTTGACCCTTTTTGGCTTGGCCTTCGGTTGGGATTGTGATAGGGAGGATTGGATTGTCACAACGCCAGGGATGTCAGCCAAAAGGTCTTCGACAACGGCCTTGTTGCGTCCTATCTTGTCGACGGTAGCAACAACAGTGACTTTAGTGCCAAAGTGGATTGCTGGAAGAGCAATGGGTGGGTTGGATGTATCGTAGGCCAATGTCTCAGCACTTTGGTGTTTTCAGCTGGGGAGTAGATGTTGATGGAGCTCGGGGAGCAGATGGGTTGAAGGAATCAGTTGGGGAGCAGATGTTGATGGTTGTTCTGCTGGATCAGAGGTTGAAGCTTGGTCAGGCCGTGGTGACGAAGTGATAGAAGGAGTTGTTGCTGAACATGGAGACTTGCTCTTCTTTGGGATGTCGGGCAAGGTAGATTTGTAGGTTGGGATGTAGTTGAGTAGTAGGGGGGGCTTGTGCTGATCAACTGGCAAGCCCAACAACTTCTTAAAATCCTTTCTGGGGTAGAAGGTTTTACGGAAGTCTTTCGGTGGCTGAGGAAGAACTACAAGAAAAATACAGACATTAGAACATACAGAAGAATAAAGTAATAAAGACTTGAGAACATGCAAAGTGACACTTGACTCTTACCATTACCCTCTTTGAACACTGTTCAGCTTAAAGGATAGAGGTGGAGGTCGTCTTCAGGTGGGAACTCCCAGTTGCTCGAGACGATGAAATAATCATCTCTAGCACCTTTGTTGGAGTCTGGGAGGTCAGCTATGAGTTCGTACTCAGTGGATCTCGACTTGAGGTAATAGATGTAGCCTTTTTTCGAATTTTAGGCCACACATGGTGCAACAGTACTAGATGTCACCTAGAGTTATCCTAGCGTTCTCTCGGCTAGCTAGGGTAATTATTCCGTTAATGACTCTGTAAGAGTTAATGGCCAGCTGCATTGGGTTAAGTTTGTAATAATGGAGGACTTGGCAGAAAAGAATGTTGAGAGGGAACCTAAGTCCACACTCTATGAAGGCCACTGCGGGAAAAGGCATGAAGTTCCCATCAGGCATGATGGAGTCCTCCTCCCCTGCCAGCCTAAGGTAAACATCGGCTGGGATGGAGAACTCTGTCCTAAAGTACTCTAGTTTGGCCGGGGTGTCTACCCTCCACCTAAACATACCCACGGTGTCAGCTTATGAGGATTAAAGCAAAATTTCATAAAAGAGTGTCTGGTATGGTTTTGAGGACCTCGGCTAAACCCTAGAGAGCACTGGAGTAAAGGCTTCTGAGAATCTAAAGGAGTTTTTGGTTCGATTTTCCTAAAGAACAGAGTTCTAAAATCAAAACCCAAACCTAAATCTACGCAGTCAAAGGTAAGAATCTGGAAATAAAGCAAGAAAAACAGAAAAGAACAATGATTCAGACTCAAGAAAACCAATAGAAATTCAAGTACATTGTACAGAGTGTGTGTAGCTGTGCAAAGCCAAGTACAGTGGCAAAGTAACTAGTGTGTGAGTAGTGTGTGTATACATATACCCAGAAATAGATTGGACAAAAGCAAAATCGCAAACAAACATGATGAAATTTGAAACACAAACGAAGATTCAAAAACATGAATGGATTCACAATGGCAGCATACAAGCATTACAAAGTTTGAAGTAAATCAAAAACTGAAAAGAGAGAAAATGGTGACTTACCAAAGAGAATAACACCGATGTGAGGTACGCCGAAGTCAGACGATGGTGGTGCGTGGAGCAGAACGGTGAATGCCTCGCCGGAGGGAAGAACGGAAACAGTTGCAGAAAGCTTTAAGAAAACGACTAAGGAGGTTTCTTGTTTAGAGAGAGAGAAAGCTTGAACTTAGAGGGAAACCGAGGAAGGCAAAAGTGAAGAGATGGAAAAGAAAATGTTTTTGTTAAAACACGAAAATGTGGCAAAATCACAATGAATGTGCCTTGGATAACGTGCCTGTAAGGTGGTGTACGCAGAAGCGACGCGACCTGATGGCGCGTGTTAGGTACGGGCCAATGAGAAAAAGATGCTTTACGAAAACGGTTGAGAAACCGTGCGTGACAGCTCATGCGCAGATAGAACTCTTGGAGTTCTTGATTTAATGGAGCGAGAACCTCGGCTAGAGGGACGATCTCGGTTAGAGAACTTGAAAAACTTGGTTCTTGGTTTTTAAGCATTGATAAAGCAGACTGTGGTCTTGGTCATATGGAGCCGACGTGTGATGACCTCGGTAATGAAGGATAGAGTAAGTCTTAGCTGATGTGCTATATGGACAAATGATGTAGGTTCCATTACCTCAGGATGCCGAGGTAATAGAACCTAGGGGCAGTTGTGGGGATATATTTTGTGAATGACAACACGTGGCCAAGGTGGCACCGAAATGCCAACCGAGGGGCCACGTGTCTTGGTCATGGTGCCAAGGTTATCTCGGCTAGGCCGAGGTTATCTAAGGGGATACCGAAATCCGAGATGAACGGATAAGGGATAAGAGTCCTAGAATAGGGGAGGATCTTAGTCTGGATAAAGATAGGACTCTTAGGAAATTTATCTCTATCTGGCTGGGAGTCCAAGATAAGCATTGAGGCAGAGTACATTAAAGCTAGGCTTCTACAGGGATCAAGTTAGTTCTGGCTATAAAAGTAAGGCACCCTTGTGGGTCAAAGGTACGCTTTTGTATTCTGGCTAGTGAGTTAAGCACTGTTTGCTATCTTTGAGAGATAATTGAGTACTGACGTGATCGTCGGAGTGCCCCCGGATGGACGAACCACAGCCAGAGTCTTATCTTTCTGTGACAGGTTGTTCGGACGTAATCTATTTTGCCGATGTTCTCCAGCTGAGAACCTATTTGGCAGTGTGGTCAGAAATCAACACCCACAGTAAGTTATGTATATCAAACAAGATTGAAAATGTTATTCAGGTAGTTAACCAATGTGTCACAACCCAAACTCACCCCTATAGGTTTAAGTGTTATAACCGGCCAGTAATCCATAGATTACCGAAGGCCTCTTAAACAAAAAACAAATTATTAGGGACTAGCAGAAGCAAATACAAATATACAATGTCCATTGAGCTGTGCAGACATATATGAGACAGAAAAAAATTAAAAATTTATATACAAATATTATATATCACCCTTACAACATCACATTTATACAAATAAGACAAAAAGGAAACTTAGCCCTATTTACAAAATAAACAAAAACTTAAAATTTAATCACATAGCCTTGGCACTTGACGTGTCCGTGACCTCCACGGGAGGTGCATAGGTTGGTTGACAAAAACAGATTCCAGGCAAACACCTCTAAGCCTGGTCACGTGCTTGATCACCTACATACATATACATATACAATGAGGTAGAGCCTAGTGAATAACAACAATGTAAAGGGGTTATAAATGATGCCCTTACAGTATTTAAAACAGTCCATTATCATTAGCAAATCAATGTCTCATTTCATAATCATATTGTAATCATAGCAGTCATACGTGGTACATCTAATAGCAGGACAGTATAGACGATTATAAGGACCGAACAGTCAGAATTGAAGGACATGCCATCAATACAGTAAACAGAAGTTCCAAGAATTGGAACTAACAAAGATTTTTGTAACAGTAACAGTAACAGTAAACAGTAGCAGTAACAGATGCTAAGGATGCCACGAATACAGTTCATAAAACAAGACTATCATTCAATCAGGTAGAAAATAGCATTTCAAAAACAAAGCATTGTATAAGTCAGAAAATACTTATAATTCGAACATATCTTTACAAGGTTTTTACTCACTGATAGCTCCAGAGACAGATCGGACGGACCGTAACGCGTTACCTACACAAACACATAACAGATACACATTGAAACACAATATCACTTCCCTGATCAAACTTGACTTATCTGTCTTTTTCTATTTAAGTAATCCAAAGTTCTACTACGCGTATTGTCACGCCCTCAAAATATAACCCACTATCTATGTATCATTGATATGCAATATTTAAAGAAAACAATTTATTAAACCATTCATCAGAGTATTACTAAATAAAAGCATTACATGTAACATCAAATTAAATGCCCTATGGGTTTACATCTTTCCAAGCCAACACTTGGACACAAAATATGAGTTCTAACTCAAATACAAATAAAGCCCTAGGCTTGATTATTTAACAAATAAAACAAATAACTAAAGATAGTCTTCAGAATCCAAAAGCCAAATCCTTCCAAGCTAAGTCCTTGGAGGTAGCTTATCACCTGAACCTGAAAATGATGTTCTCATAAAGGGTGAGCCACAGCCCAGTAGAAAAATACTAAACCAAATATAAGCATTGAATAAAGCTATAGCATTCAACAGATGGATAACCAAGATAATCAATTACATCATCAAACAAGGGACATCAGTCTACTTAGTCTTCCCAGCTGCCTCAGACACACAGTTTCGACCTCCTACTGCTTATACTGCATCTGCTCCGACTTCTAATCCTGACTTGGCTTCTTTGCGTGCCCAAATGGCTCAACTCCAGCATCTCTTGTCCACCTCTTAGCCATCATCATTTGCCTCTATTATTTCCTCTCTTCATTCAAGTTTGCTTAGGTATTCTTCAGGTATTTCTTCATCTGTCTGGATTTTTGACTCTGGTGCCTCTCATCATATAACTCCCCATCTCTCCTTACTTTAAAATTATATTCCTCCTTCCTTTTCTATTACTGTCAATACTGCTAATAGGTCTGGTATGTTTGTTATCTCTGTTGGGTCTGTCCTACCGTCTGCTATGTCTGCAGTCTCTATTTCATCTGTCTTATATGTTCCTCAGTTATCTGTCAATTTATTATCTATTAGTCAACTTAATG